CCCCCCTCCCAGTGCCGATGTTTCCTTGTCTTGTTTCTTCGTGCGTCCGCTGTGAGGCTGTGTTGTCATAACAACGTGTAGGTCAAGCGGGAAGGTCTTATTAATGCGCTTCGAAGATCACTCAGAGCAGTTTACGACGTCTTTGGTGCAATGGTCAAGGTGTCCGTTTCGCACGCAAAAGCGGTTAGTTCGATTCCGGTGTGGGGTAAGAGTTGATTGTTTGTTTTGGGCGATAGGTTTATTTGTTTTGCTTTAAATCGAGTTCCTCCTTTATCTTGCTGAGATATCGTATCTCACTTCGCCTGAGTTGGTTCTGATAGGCAGAGTCAGAACAGCCCGCCTCTTTAAAATATCAAACTTCTGTGTGTTGACCAACGTTGGGGAGCTTTGAAAAATTCCAAATTACACCGACTTTCCCGCTGATAATAATTGGAACCGGGGTCATCCACACGATAGTTGTTCATTTCTGTCTTTGTGTCTTGCTTGACTTATTCCAAGCATTATAATCGTGTCGATGTGCGTCTCTTTGACTCAAAATAAATAGCGCCGTATCCCAGTAGGGTAAGTGGGTGGTTGGCGGGTGCTCTGGAGTGGTTTGCTCCTTTTTCCCCATCAAACATCTACTGTCCTTATCTCTCCTCATTCTGTGTTTATGCGTGTGTTTGTTACTCTCTTGTAATATCTCTAATCTTCGGCACTTATATGACCTAATCGTGTCGCTTGTGTCGTAAAAACTTACTAAAGGTAAAACGAGCGTTTTAATCGTATCGATGTGCATCTCTCTGACTCAGAACAAATAGTCCAGCAGGGTAAGTGGGTAGTTGGCGGGTGCTGTGATGTTGTGGTTTTCTTCCTTCTCCCTATCAAACATCTATCGTCCTTCTCTCTCCTCCTTTTTGTGTGTGTTTGTGTTTGTGTGTTTGTTACTCTCTTGCAACACCTCTAATCTTCAGCGCTTTTATGACCTAATCGTGTTGAAAGTGCTTCTTCTTTCCTATCGAATATGTATCGCCCTGATCTCTCCTCCTTTTTTACGTTTGTTACTCTCTTGTAACACCTCTAATCTTCGGCGCTTATTTGACCTTATTGTGTTGCAAGTGCAATATAACTCTTACTAAAACTAAAAGTGCCGTAAAACGCTTACTAAACTATATCTAAAAACCAGCATGTTACCAGCTGAGCTGCCGTTGCCCCGGCATGCTGCCTTGCGTTACTTCTTATGTTGTATGCGGGGCATTCCATTGTATCATCATATGCTAGCGGTTCTGGCATTGGGTGTGGGGTTGTTTTTTTGTCCTGTTTGTTTTCTCATGTCGCTCTTGTGTACTCACATGTCTTACCTTCTC